TGGGTGTTAATTTCCTTACAGCCACCTGCTCCCTTTACGATCAAGGGACACCAAGAAGACACCAAGACCTCCATCAGTCGGGGGATCTGGCAGTGTTGTGACTTGGGCAGGTGACCTCGGCTAAAATTAATCTCCTACCCAGGTTCCTATACCTCTTTCACACATTCCGACCCCCACTAAAAACTCAGACTTCAAAATTTTACAAATGGCAATAAATAAATTTATTTGTAACGAAAAGTGGCCTAGAAGACACAGAGCCAATTTATATGTCCCCAGTAGTGATGTCCCGAACTGTTCGTCAAACGGTTCGCGAATGGTTCGCCACGAACGGTTCGCCACGGACTCATCATTGAGTAAACTTTGACCCTGTACCTCACAGTCAGCAGACACATTCCAGCCAATCAGCAGCAGACCCTCCCTCCCAGACCCTCCCACCTCCTGGACAGCATCCATTTTACATTCATTGTGAAGCTGCATTCTTAGTGAGCTGTCCAGGAGGTGGGAGGGTCTGGGAGGGAGGGTCTGCTGCTGATTGGCTGGAATGTGTCTGCTGACTGTGAGGTACAGGGTCAAAGTTTACTCAATGATGAGTAGGCGGCGAACCGTTCGTGGCGAACCGTTCGCAAACCGTTCGGCGAACAGTTTGGGACATCACTAGTCCCCATATATCATGGTTGTTTGCGATTGTCATATTTTGCTCATTATTACACTGTTGCACAGCTCGCCCCGGTCCATCAGCGGCATGCTCCAGCAGAACTGAAGAGCTGGGTGCATCTGGAACACCTTATTTTTGGCATCATATGTGGCATCATATGTGGATACCAAGGCGACACCACCCCTTTCACTCCCCCCCCACTTCCCCATCTATCACACCCTTACTCTATAGGATAAATCCAAAGACAAATTTGAACTACCTTCCTTTTTTTCCCCATTGACATCTATCTTACAGAGCACAATTTTTCCACCAAGCTTAACACCAAAGCCCTTTGACCATTTTGAGGATAGGGACATTACTTGTTTTGGTCATCTGTAATCCGAGTCCCAGGCAGAAGTAATCACCTACAAAGACTTGCCAGATGCATCCAAGCTAATGACATCTACATCTACTTTAGATACCCCCTCTTCCTCCCCCCTCCGAAACTTCATTAAAAAAGGTGTGTGGAGACACCAATTCAAAGGGGTCAAATCTCCATGCTGTACACAGCATTAACATCACACTCCACAAAAATGTAATTGCCTTATATAAATACATGGGAAAGAGGTCTAGGACCATGAGAGTAACTCAGTGACTGGCTGTAAATTTTGAAAACTACTTCATTCCTCACAATCTGCATCAATCACAAGGAACAAGCATACAAGATATGTATTTTTAAGATGCACCAGATCTCCACAAATGTGTGCTGATGGTCTTGTCCCTAAATCCAGCACATTTGGACTGAGATCACAGTCTTACTGAAAAACCTCCTGGATAAACCCTATCCTATAAAAACATGGGCTCTGTTACAATCTATTCTCACTATAGCTGAAAATAAGCAAGCAGCCAGAATAGCTCTCTCAACTCACAGAGCATTTGGGGAAATGTGGGCAGTACCAGAGGTCCCTTTCATGACGGCTATTATTTGAAAAACCAAGGAGGCTATGGCAATTGAAAGGGTCACAGCTCAAGTCCAGGACACACCAAAATCATTTCATAAAATGTGGGATCCTTAGTTTAATGAAAACATTCAATGAAGCATACTCACAACCTTGTTTGTACCAGTTGATATTGGAATTTGGATCTCCCTTGCTTCTTCCCACATTTTCTTTTCTTTTTTAATCTTTCTCCTCCCCTTTGCGCACTCCCACTCCATCGCTTTCTCTTTTCTCTAATACCTTCTTCTTCATTTTGTAAATAGTTCTTCTTACCAAGTTGTCCTATTGTTCCCTGGCCCTTCCTATTTCCTACATTTCACCCCTGGAGACCAAAGGTTTTCACAAGTACAGTACTAGCAAGCAATTAGTTACAGGTGCACAAAAATCAGCCCTGATATTTAGTGTTGTACATATCTATGGTCACCATATCTGAGACTTGATCTCCCTGGTTTGAAGCTTACATAACCATAAATACTTAAAAAATACAGTTTTAATTTTTATGAGGCCACTTTAAATCACCTGTTTTTGCAAACAAATATGGGATTTAGTTACACCATATGACCATATCATGTTACACCCACCACTATGTCACCGTACCTCAATATTGATGTGGCCTACATTATTTTTACCACTGGAGATGTACCTGCCAATCACATAGGAGTAGATTTAACATGATATGACCATATTGTCATCTCTCCAAATAAAATGATGCCCCAAAAGAACAAAGTGTTTTTAAAATCTTTGTTTCAAGATTAAATTTAATATTTATGACCAGAATTTAAAAACCCAAACAGGCTGTTAGGCACCCTGTATGAAAAATCTTCACAAAACTTCTCCCTGGTCACACGTCTTACCCATGTATAGTGTGTGTGTATAGGGGATTTTTAAAAAAATAATAATAATGTGTATGAGTATGCCCCAGAACTCAACAATAAAACTCTCAGTAATGTGCCTATTAGCATATCACAGAGCTCTCTAACTATAAAACACAGACTAAAGTGCATATTTTATGATAGAGCTCCACTGTAATAAATCTCATAGTAATATGATGCAATGTGCATGTTGTCTGTATGTGTGATAGGCGTGATGGTTTTGTGTGATATGTATGCTTTGTGTTGACTGTGTGTGATATTTGTAATAGGTGTAATGACTATGTGTGATATGTGTGTGTATTGGCTGAATGTGATATTTGTGTTGGGTTTATTGGCTGTGTGTAATGGGTATTTACTTAAGTTAAATATATACATGTAGGCGCATGTGTGAAAGCAGGTGTATATTATTGCAGAGTTACATGCACCCAGTTCTGTAGTCAAATACACAGTTATACTGTCCTATAGAGCAACATGCACACAGTCCCAGGCACACAATTACACACACAGAATATAATAAAATTCACAGCTATAGGCATTCATACACAGGTACAGGCAGACAGTCATACACACAGGCACAGGCAATCACACACACATATACGCAGGCAGATTCACACAGGTACAGGAAGTCACAAGCAGTTACAGGCAATCACACATATATATAAGTACAGGCAGACGGTCACACAGGGAGATAGATACACACAGTTACAGGCAGACGGTCACAGACAGTTACAAACTATCACACACAGTTACATATAGTCTCAAACACACATTTACAGGCAGGCAAACACACCATTACATGGAGTCACACATAGGGCAGGGAAAGGTTTATAAAGCCTTCCCATACCCTGCAACCAATCAGAATGCTCTGAGTCATTTTACTCAGAGCATTCTGTTTTTACACAAAATTCTTTGTCATTCTCCCATGCTGTGTAATTTGACCCAACACTGATTGGTTGCTTTCTTTTTTCAGAGTGTTATGAGTCAAATTACATTAGGTCCCCCCATTATTTATTTAATCAGAGTCCGCACCCATGGCTCATGGGTGGGGACATTAGGTGCCCCCCATTATTTATTTAATTAAGGTCCCCACTTGATGTCATGGGTGGTGGCCTGTGGGGGACACTAGGTCCCCCGTTTATATTAATAGACCCCACCTGCAGGTCACTGGTAGGGGCACAGGGGGGCACTATCCCCCCCCATTTTAGTTATTTGTGTTCCCCACCATGGGGGAACTGAGGGACCTGTGTCAGGTCCCCCCTTATTGCACTCACGACTGGGCAGCAATAGCTGCGAGTAGGGACATGCGGGAGGATTTAACCTCCCTTTGATCAATAAGGTGACCCCCAAACTGATTTATATTTAGTTTTAAGTGACAGCGAGCAGCCACTGGCTGCTCGCTGTTTAGGCGACATGCCCCTATTCGCAGCATGCCGCGACTTAGGGTATGCGGGAGGATTTAACCTCCCTTTTGTTAATTTGGAGGTCATAGTGACTCCCATAGTTTTTAATGAGGGGAGGGTAGGAATTAATATTATTACAAGGAAGGAGCTAGTAGCTTTTTTTGGTGCATGCGCAGTGTTATTCTCTCTGTGCTGTGGAATGAAACTAAAAAGTAATGCATTCGGAATTTGCCCTTTCGTTTGTATTTCTTTTTTCTTTTTTAAATTTGCAGACATAGATAAATGTACAGTACATGTGTATAGAGAAGCGTTAAGCAATTATTATAGTATTTCATGCATTCATCATGACAGTGTAAATAGTATCGCATTGTGAGGTTATGCATTCTGTGCAAAAACTTGTCTGCGTTTTCCAAATAACAAACTCTATAGGATTTTGGTTCCTTTTCAATAAGCAGTCATCAATAATAAAAAAAGAATTACCATTAGATAATAATCAAAAAGAAAAACAGTAACAATAGGTTCACCCTGGCTGACCTTGGCCTTTATAGTGTGTTTGGTAAGTTTGGTGGGGTCGGTTGAGTTGTGGTATTCCCGGGGGTATTGGTTCTAACCGTTCATAGTCTGAGTGATTGTCTGTTAAGATATGGTTGTGGTTGCTGTTGTAACATTTACCTTGAGATGTGGTTAAGTGTATAGCCAGTATGTCTGTGCGTCTTGAGGGTCTGATCGTCAGCCAGTGAAACCGAACTTCAGGGGGAGGAGAGTAGGGGAAGGTGGGGGGTGAGGAGTGATGATTGAGCCTTTATTGGGTTAGTACAGTATTGTAGGTTCTCTAGGTACTAGCGGACATATTTGTGATGAAGGTGAGCCAGGGGGACCAGCAAGTATAGTAGTTATCATATGTATGCGTTAAGAATGAGTGGAGTTCTTCCATGAGTCTATTGGATTCTACTTTTTGCATCCATTCTCTGATGGTTGGTGGAGTGTTTTGTTTCCATTGTAATGGAAATAGTATGTAGATTCTAGATAGTGTGATGGCTTTGTGGTAGGTTTCAATATCAGGGAGCCCCAGGCCGCCTTTCATTTTGGGCAGTACCAGGATTTTGTGTGGGAGTTGGGGGTGTTTGTGTGCCCATATGAACTCTGAGAATATGCGTTTCACTGATGTAAAGAATGTCTGAAGTAGGGCCACGGGTAATGCCGTTGATTCGGATCCTGGCACTGGGGTTAGAGTAGATTGCCTTCATCCATTGTATCCAAGCCAGGCCAAAACCCATGGCCTGGAGGATACGAAAGAGAAGGGACTAGTCCATCCTGTCGAAAGCTTTTTCTGCGTCAACTGAGAGGAGCAGACTCTGTGTGTTGGATCACTGGGCCAAATAGATTAGATTGATGATTTTAGAGGTGTTATTTTTAGCCTCCTTTCCCGGCACAAAGCCCGCCTGATCAGGGTGGACTAGCCCCTGTAGGAGTGGACATAGGCGTGTGGCCAAACTTTATGTAAAGATTTTTAAGTCAATGTTTATTAAGGAGATTGGCCTATAGCTTCCACAGTTTAGAGGGTCTTTCCCTGGATTGGGTATTAGGGTTATGTGGGCTTCTAGGGCAGAATCTGGAAGTGAGGGATTTTGAGACAGAGAGTTGAAGGCTTCGAGGAATGGGTCAGCTAGGATTTCACTGAAAGTCTTGTAGTATTTGGCGGTATAGCCGTCTGGGCCTGGGCTTTTACGAGGAGGGAGGTGTTTGACTGCCATTTCAAATTCAGCTTTTGATATGGGAGCGTCCAGGGCCTGTTGTATGTTGGAAGGGATTGTGTGGTTGATTCTGGATGATCTCTCTATGCCTTCTTTGTTGGGTGGTGTTGAGCGAAGATTGTATAGGTTAGAGTAGAAGTCATGAAACGTCTCTAGTATGTCGGGCACTTTATGTGATGTCTCTGCAGTTTTCGTTTAGATTTTTGATATAAATGTGGTTTATCTAGTGTCTTGGAGAATTTTTGCCAATAGATGGCCGCATTTGCCCCCCTTTGGAGTAGTAGTTATATTTGGATAGTGAGAGCTTTCGCTTGATTTGGGCATTTACTATTTGTTAGAGAGTTGTCCTGTGTTGTGTTAGTTGGATATATGCCTCTAGGGATCGTGCTGCCTTATGTGTCTCTTCAATGAGACAAATCGTTTGAGTAAGTGATCTGACTTGGGCCTCTCTTTCTTTTTTTTGCTTAGAGGCTAGGGCTATAATGTGTCCTCTGGCAACTGCTTTGTGCGCTTCCCAGATAATAGGTTGTGCTGTGTAAGGTATGTTGTTTTCCTTAAAATAATGTTTGAGTGTGTCTGAGATTTGGGATATGATAAGTGTGTTGTCTAATAGTGAGTCGTTTAGTTTCCATTGGAATGATTTTAGTGGGAGGGAAGGGATTGAAATGGTCATAGTCAGTTGTGCGTGGTCGGACCACGTGATTGGTCCGTATTGACATTGGGTGATAAGGTGGAGAAATCTGTGTGGGATAAAAACCATGTCGATTCTGGAATATGTGTTCATGGCCGGGGAGTAGTAGGAGTAGTCTTTAGAGCTTGGGTGAGTGATTCGCCAGCATTCACACAATTGTGCTTTGTCTAATAGGTGAGCTATCTGTATACAGGCAGAGGCTTAGTAAGTGGTAGCACTGGATGTAGTGTCTAGTTGGGAGTCTAAGGATATGTTTATGTCTCCTCCCATAATCAGGATCCCCTCTTGAAACGTTTCAATGATTCTGAGGAACCGCTGGAGCGATCTGCTTTGGTTTTTGTTGGGTAAGTATAGGTTTGCGAACGGTTTGCCGCGGACTCATCATTGAGTAAACTTTGACCCTGTACCTCACAGTCAGCAGACACATTCCAGCCAATCAGCAGCAGGCCCTCCCTCCCAGACCCTCCCACCTCCTGGACAGCATCCATTGTGAAGCTGCATTCTTAGTGAGCTGTCCAGGAGGTGGGAGGATCTGGGAAGGAGGGTCTGCTGCTGAGGTACAGGGTCAAAGTTTACTCAATGATGAGTCCGTGGCGAACCGTTCGTGGCGAACCATTCGGCGAACAGTTCGGGACATTACTATTTGTAAATGTTATGATATTTTGGCCTATGGTGCCTTTAGCCATAACTAGTCTCCCTGAGTCATTTGAATAGTGTGCCTTGTGGGTGTGCGGCACTCTGGAAGATATGAGAATTGCCACTCCCCTCTTGTTTGCTATGGGTTAATTATTGAAAAATCCCATGGGTATCTATTGTTCCTTACTGGTGGGGCATGGTCTTGTTTAAAATGTGTTTCCTTGAGGAATGCAATATCAGATTTTGAATTGTGTAATTTCTGTAGTACCAATGAATGTTTTTCGGGTGTATTTAATCCCCAAACGTTGTGAGTGGCTCTTGCTCAATGTCTCCTTTTTTGGGATTTGCAAATGTTATGATATTTTGGCCTATGGTGCCTTTAGCCATAACTAGTCTCCCTGAGTCATTTGAATAGTGTGCCTTGTGGGTGTGCGGCACTCTGGAAGATATGAGAATTGCCACTCCCCTCTTGTTTGCTATGGGTTAATTATTGAAAAATCCCATGGGTATCTATTGTTCCTTACTGGTGGGGCATGGTCTTGTTTAAAATGTGTTTCCTTGAGGAATGCAATATCAGATTTTGAATTGTGTAATTTCTGTAGTACCAATGAATGTTTTTCGGGTGTATTTAATCCCCAAACGTTTTGAGTGGCTCTTGCTCAATGTCTCCTTTTTTGGGATTTTGGGGGGTAGGTTGGGTTTGGGTTAACTATTAACGGGTAACTTTGGGGTAAGTGGGGTGTACGAGAGTGTAATAGTAAGCTCGATGTTATCAAGTGTCTGTCGGTGATTTTCCCAGGTCACGGAAGCTCTGCCTCCTGGGAGCAAAAACATCACCGCTCGTTGGGGGATGGGAGGTCAGGCACCACACTATCAGTAACTGTAGCAGAGTTATCTGTATTGTGGAAAGGAGGGAGGGTTGCAGGTTTTTAGGTGGTAAGTCCCATTGGGATACCTTTGCTGTGCCCGATTGAAACCTTCAGCAATCCATGTGTTATTTAGAACACTCACGGAAATTGGGGGAGAAGCGTGGGGTTGCGGTTACTTATAAAACAGGGCACAATGGTGTCTTGGGACAGAGGCATTTTTTTTTGTTTTGTTTTTTGTTGGGGGGGGGGGTATTGTAGTCGGATGGGTATTGGATTAGCTGTGCTGGGTCCGAAGGCATATTGTTGCATATAATTTCAACAGTAGAAAAGTATTGCATATAAGAAGGCAGCAAAGGCAGTTGTACAGTACAGTTAGAATATGCCCCATTTGTGTTGGTGTAGGTGGCCAGATTATTCCTGGCCTCCAGCTCCCACCCCCCCTGCGCCCCCACCCCCACCCAATGCCCCTGCTGGAGGGGGTTTGTGGTTTTGACCTTTGTTGAGAGTTCTATAAATTGCCTTACCAGCTTTGAGTCTCGGGTTCTTAATATTTGATAGTAGCCGGTCTGGCTAAATGGCTGGGGGATTACGGATGAAGTGTGGAGGCACAGGGGTGGGTGGTTTCATCCCCAGCAGAGGGGTATCTCCCTGTTTAGTATTTCCAAGTTGCGGGGTGGGGTACAACAGCCAACATATGGGGGTCCCTGGGCTGACAATGCTTCCTGCATCTTACATGCTAGATAGATAACCGTCTCAGTCCTTCTTGTCTTACTGAATATGTGGTGATATGTGGTGAGATTTCCGGTGTCAACCAGCGGGGTGTAGGGTTAGTCTTACAGGACCCATGTAGTGATCCGTTCGTACGGAGGTAAAGTTCCAAAGTGCCTTTGTGTTATGATGCTGATAGTGGTTGTCTTTTTAGTCCGTCTGAGGGTGTTGTGTGTTGGGGGTGTTGATCTTCTTTGTTCCCTGTAGGTCATTTCTTCTCCGTTTAGATGTAGTCTGCCACTTGTTGCGTTGGGGAAGTTGTGTCTGTGGGGTGTTCAGCAGCGAGCTGTACCAGTCCATCACTGTTACTTCAGTGAGACCCAGTGCTTGTATAAAAGTGGGAACGTCATGTATTGAGGAAAGGCTATGGGTCACTCCTTGGCATGTCGCTATGAGCGCAAAGGGGAATCCCCAGCGGTATTTAATATTGCGCACTCTGAGCTGTTCTGTGATGGGGCGCAGGATACTGCATTCAGAGTTGTCCAGGAGAGGTCAGGATATATTTGTATAGTCTTCCCATGGAAAAGTAGTGGTTGGGAAGTCTGGCGAAGGGCCGTTAAGATGACCTCTTTTTGAGTGTAATAATGCAGCCTACAAAAACATCTTGCGGAGCTGCAATGGGGGCTCCCCTGGGTTTGCGGGCCCTTTGAGCTCTATCTAGGGGTATTTGATGGGCAGGCAGTTTGTCTAGCAAGAGATTAAATAGTTCTGTCAAGACAGTAGTTAGTTTTTCCTGTTCCCCCTCTGGTAGGCCTTAAATTCTAAGGTTATTGTGCCTACCTCAGTTGTCGATGTCGTCCAGGGATCTGTGGAGGGCTGAGAGGTCATGGGTGTGTGATGCCATGGTGGTCTGCAACTGTTGCACCAGCGTGTATAGCATGTCTCTGTCGTCCTCGAGTGAGGTGAGTCTGTCTCCCACATGGCGTACCTCTGTTTCAATATGATCAAATTTTGATTGGAAGGTAGCTTTGAGTTTCCCCAGCATATTATCCAGGTCTCCCTTAGATGGCAGATTTCTGATGGCTTCCCTGATGTCCATATCAGGTATGTACGTGGATGCTGTGGATCCCTCCGGGCTCGATGGCGCTGATCCATCGTGGTAGGATTCCGCCGCCATTTGCTGTTTGGATGCGCCATTTTGGAAGTCTGCATTATCACAGAGAAACTTCGTTAGGGCTCCTCGTTTGCCCGGTGGGGGTTTCCCTGAAGCTTGTTGGAATGCTGGGGAGCATTTTGGATGTCCCATGGTGAGTTTTTATCCCGATGTGTGTGCATTGTGCTGAAGGTTTTCTCGGAGCCTCGCTAGTGCACATCCATTCAGCACGGACATTGGCTCCGCCCCCCCTTTGTTTATATTTCGTATATTGTGCGTTCATTTATGTTTTAGTAAATGAATATAAAAAAAACGGAATTTTCGTCCGAAATCGTATTCGTACGAAAACGAATGCACGACTATTATTTAGTGTATTTTTATACACTAACATCACTATTATAGCTAATATAACATACCCACTCTTAATTTTGTTTTGCTAATGTTTCCATATTGTTATTGTTTGTGAAAA